CTATTTTCTAGTGTATTAGGTAATTTTAATCTTAATTATTCCTTGTACAGTGCATTTATTCAAAAATTCTGTCTATTGATTTTGTTTTTTAAAGATTCTTGCAAAGTTCAGATGACAGTTTAAAAAAAATATACAAATTATTGTGAATCCTCTACATCAAACAATAGTAAATACAGTAATACAAACCCGAAGAGAAAGAAAGATCAATAAATAAGAATACTGACTTATTTATTTACTATCATTATTACTATTATATTATTATTATTGAATGATCACCAACACTCTTGCGGAAACCCGCTAAAGTCAAACATTTCGTCTACTTTTGTGCCAGCTGATGTCGTGAACACGATTCTAAGTCGCAATCTAATGTTCGTCTATAACGCAAAAATGAAGTTAGTTGTTATTACTGGTATGTTGTTAATATAGCAAAGATTAACAATGTACCTGTTGAGGGTTAGCAACTCGAATTATTTGTTGGGCTGTTGCACCAGGAGCAATGGTAGTTGTTGACGGAGATTGCATCTGCAATTTTTGAGTCTAAAATATTTATAAATCCCAACATCAATAAATGTACACAGTCAATAAACCTTCATAAAATATCAGGCGGAAACATACCTTTAGGACGGCCGCCTGGAACAACAGATTTTGCACGATGGCGCCAACCGAGACGTTATGAAAAGTGACATCAATATTGATAATTCTGGGATTACTTGGGTCTTTGGAAGGATCTAGGCTGATCTTAAACCCATTCTTATTATATGCAATATATTTTTCTAATAAATTGGATGATAAAAATGATTTATATCAAAGTTACGATCGTGGTCGGAAAGGTGTGGAACCGGGTCTTACCCGACTCAGGTGGTACCGTTGAAAACATCTCGAAGCCAGAAGATATGGGTGCAATCTGTTGTCCTGTTCCAACTCCCATCGAATCAGAACTATCCAGAATATTTGTGGGTTGTACACTCTGCGTGGGTGGATTTTGAACGGCACTTGGCGTCGCATTAAAAATACCCATAATATCATTGTTCGGAATTGGCGGTGCTTTAGTTACCACTGGACTACCACCGAAGATATCGGCCAAGATATCAACTGTGGCTTGAGGAGTTTCGGGGATGGCAGGCGCTTTAGATTGGGTGGAATTATCATCGCCCCCAAAATCTAAAAGCGTCTTTAATATTGAAAAGACCGAGAGGTCAA